TTTAGGTAATCCGACGAACCGGCCTATTTCCTCCAGTTAGCCCAGCGAACCGGTCTAGTATATAATATCCCATATCACCTATATATATATATATATACATAATACACACAATAATCATTTATTAATAATAGACAATCAATAACAATTAGGCAATTAATAGCAATTAAACAAATAACAAGAACAATAATAGTAATAATAATACTATTAATAATAGTAATAATATTAACAATAATAATAATAATAATAATAATAATAATAATAATAATAATAATAATAATAATAATAATAATAATAATAATAATAATAATAATAATAATAATCCCAATTATTCCTAAACAAACAGGACATTACAGACATGAACATCAACAGTGCTCATAACTAAGAGCAGTTGGAAGAAGTAAGAAAAATGCGGAACATGGACAACCATGAAAATCGGAAAGATAGTTATTGCATTAACAAAGCCGATTACATACTTAACTTTCTCGACCTTTACAAAATGATTCAAAACAGATCGAGATCAGCAGCAAACAAAAGAAAGAATCATCACAACACAACAAACAACCATTAACTTCTCAAGAATCGACAATAGACTTCCCGCCCTCATCATTCCCCTCGTCGACCAACGGCTCGGTCCCTGCACCCTCACCGACCAACGGCTCATTCCCTGCACCCTCATCGACCAACGGCTCTGTCCCCTGCCACTCGACCTCAATCTCATCGTCAACCGGCTTCTCCTCGTGATTAGCTCCACTTGGCCCGACTAATTCGGTCGAACCGACCAAGGGAATAGGAGGGACCTCGAGTTGGGATGAAATCCCAGCCATGTGAATGGCTTTAGCCTTGAGCCCAACCCACCAGGCATGATCAGAAGGAAGAGAGGGATCACCTTCATAACTGTCGGGGAGAGGGAGGGTCATCTTCACCTCCTCGCGGTCGAATTTGCCAGAGAAGTCGGGCTTGGCCACGGCCTTTTCCCATGCGTCGAAAGTGTGGTTATGGTATTGAATCGTCACGGAACATAGCCTGTCGAGGAAGGCAGGCGAATTACAGAACATCTTGACCACTTCCTTGCGGTAGTGTTCGAGGAATACTGCACCCGTCAGGGACATTAGAAAGTCCTTACGACCCTCAAGAAGCCCATCCCCCCTCTCGATTAGGGCCTCGTCAGCAGCCCTGGTCAAGTCGACCTTCAGCTTCTCGACCTTCCTAAAGGACGTCTCCTTCTCGGCCCGCAGTATGGTGATGACGACGTTAGTAGCCTCAAGCTCTTCTTCTTTCTCCTCCTCTTTATAGTTAATCGCATACTTCTCCCCTAAACTTTGGCATTGGAATGGGGATAAGTGGCCTCCTCAATCATCGAGGGGAGAATGTAGGCGAGAAGCTGCATACACAATAATGGAATTAATAAGAGAACTAAATTATAAAGAAAAAGAAATGGGAAGCGTCCAAACATAAAGACGAGAGGGCTACTCGATAGTAACGGGGCGCACCTCCACAGGAGACATCTGCCCAGCGTCTTTCCCGGCCACCTTCTTCTTCCCTTTTGGGCATTTCAGGGAGCCGGGCACCAGGGTCATGTCCCCTTGGTCCTGGGCTCTCTTACGAGAGTGAGATCCCGACAAGGGGAGAGGAGGAGCTGTAGGTTTCTCGACTATGGTCGTTTTTGCGGCAGTCGTCTCAGCCGCTGCCCCATGAGCAACCAACCCCAAGTCACCGTTGGGTTTCTTCGGAGGGGCAGGACGACCGACAGACTTGTCATCGGCCTTCAGTTTCTTGGTCTCGTATCTTTGAAGATCCTTAACTGCAATGCACAAAGGAAATAATCAGGAATAGAGAATAATTACAGCACTAGCGGTCGAGACAAACAGCTTGTGCGCGATAAGAGTAAGTAAACAGGAAATGTCCAGGCGATGGATAACAAATTAATAATATGAAAACAACTTACGAGGATCATCGACTCGAGGAGCACTAGCGTCGATGCAAATGCCTACATGGTTGAGGAGGGAACTATCCCTAACTAGCCGACGGGCACTCTATGTATGTTTATTCAGATCCTCTAACATATCCGCAAACTACATGGATTGAGGGCATTTGCGTTGTTTCACTTTATTAGTAATCCAAGTGTTGGTCAAAGGATATTGGCCAAGAGCACGTCGAATGAAGAAGTACTTCGATTTCCATTCGATCACATTCGAAGAGAGAACCTTGAGGAAAGACACACCGGAACGGCGACCTAAGCAGTGGGCATCCTTCACGAACCTATGCCTGTAGCAATATAGAAAAAAGTCGGGCATAAAGCTGCTTAGTATTATTCTAGAGACGACTATAAAGGCTACTATTATTCGGATGGAGTTAGGGGTAAACTGATTTATGGGTACATCGTCTAGGTTACACAACGAGAGCAATTCATGCTGAATGGGAAAACGCAAGCCAAACATTATCTGGAAAGTATAACAACAAGGAGGAGGGTGTTTGAAGTCGTCGCTGGGTTTGGGAGCAATCAATTCCCAGTCAGATGGGAGCCCACTGTACGCCTTGAATCCATCTACTAAAGGACAGGCTAATGTTACAATACTTCGAGGCTCGACTAAGCGAGCAATTATTGGTGAATATACAGGACTTGTTTTATATACAGGAATGTCTAAAAGCCTAAGGGGAATACCTCGAGGGATTAGGTTAAGTAGAGGAGACTCCGGGGCGCAAGAGGAAATCTTGGGATTTTCCATCAAAGCACACGACATCAACGCTTGGTTGTACTCGTCCCAGTCGATCCTGAAGTGCGAAGCAGTAGAATGATGGGAGTTTTCCAACTCGCGGCCAAAACCGATTATTTGCACAGAATCAGAACTCGAGTACTCATCGATTTGACGAGCGAGAGAGCCAGAAACATAGTCGAAGTCAAAATCTAAAAAAAAAATTTTTAAAAAAAAAAAGAAAAAGAGAGTGATGGTCAGTGCAGGGAGAACAAACTACACACTAAGTGTTGAAGAATGTGAAGATGCATCGACATAAGATTGATGGCAGCCATGAGACAACTTCGAGGAACATTAAAATGATTGGGAATGTAAACGAACACATGAAAAGCCCTGGATTAAGGAAACTCGGAAAGAATTATAGAATTCTACAGAAATAAGAGAAAGTAACTTACACATGATGTGTGGATTAAGGAAAG